GCGGGATCAGGTCTTCCCTTTTCCTATCCCTGATTCTGCAAGTGCACAGGTCAGAAGTAGCAAACGGGTATCGAACACAAGGAGCAGATAAGTACACTTCGAGTATTGCAAGTCTAATATAGCTAGAAAACAAGTATGATTTAGGGTTTTCATTGTGTAGCAAAGTAAATCAAACAGCAGATTAAACGGTTTATGAAAATCAATTAAAGGGAAACGCTAGGCAATGAGAAACTCGCAGAGATTCAAGGTTAACAAGATATTAGAAGGTTCGCTAGGGTTTGCGCTATCTAGAACTCAGGTCACGATTGTATGATCTTTCCACTGTCGAGGCTCCGACCCCTTTGTTAATCTACCTAGTCGCTAAACTTTTGGTATGTCCCTAGGTGATTAAATCAAGCAATAGTTCGTTCAAGACCCAATTGTTCACAACCCCTCATAGATCAACTTTCGCAGTCTATGAAGTTTTGCTCACCAAATACTTAGTTCAGGTTATATAGCAAGCTTTTGGAGAGTATATGAAACCTAAGATCTGATGCTAGATTGATCAGAAAAGCAAGCAGCAATGAATTCAAGCAGAGGAAGATGCGATATATAAACCCTATGCGATTCTAACAACCTATCAAACCATGAACTCTTTGATAGATCTCACAACCTAACTAGTGGATTACTCAGACATGATCAAAGCAAACACACATAGAGATGAAGAAAACATGATTGCAATAAAACTCAAAGTAGAAATCGAATACAAGGGCGGCTCTCTTTTCACAAGAGGCTAAAAAGCTATATATATAGTGCTAGGTCTTTAGAGGCGGCTTAGGGTTAAGCCGGGCTTGAAAATATGTGAAACGGGCTTCAAAACGGGCTTCGGGTCGACCGCGGCGTTGGGACGGTCGGTCGGCCGGATATCGTCGTGGTCGTGTCGGAACGGTCGTGGCCGGATGGTTCACGGTCGGCCGCTGGTCGGACGGAAGATTGGCCGATGATTTCTCGGCCGGACGCGGGACGTGCTTTCCCGGCTCGGATGGCGCCATCGGCCGTGGTACGCGAGAAGGTTGCGCGGCCGCGAGGCTTGTTCCCGGCTCGCGCGGCATGGTCGTGCGCGGCATGGCGTGAGTGGTGTGGCTTGGCCGACCGCGGGACAATTCCCGGGTCGTGATGCGTATCGGCCGGTGGTTTGAACTTTGGCCGAGACTTCAGACGGATGGATTTGGCCGAGCGTTTTGGCCAGCCGGCTGCGCGGTTTCTCGATAGAGCCGTCTGGACAGTCTTCACTCTTTTGGTTGTAACTCCTTTTCTACTCATCCAAATGAGGCCGTTCCAGTTGCGTTGGAAAGTTAACTCAATCAGAGCACGCAGGGAACTGGTCTTGATGAAATCCATTGAGTAGATCTTTTTCTGGGCCCTCTTAAAGTTGATGCTTGTGCATGGAGCGCTTGAAGTGCAAATCCTATGGTTTTGCTCCAAAATGCATCATTTCACCTGTTTAGACTCTAGACACTATAAACACAGTAAAACTACCTTTTTAGATAGAAAACCTGCCAAAAACCATTAGAAAACAATACTAAAACAGTATAAAAAGCATGTAAAATAGAGGTATATCAACTCCCCCAGACTTAGATCTTTGCTTGTCCCCAAGCAAACAGAATCTAAATCCGTGAAAGAGGTTTGAAAACGTGGAAACTCCCTTGCTCTTTTGAATATCCTGTGAAAGGTTCCTTTCCTGTATTCCACTAAGAACATAGGCAACATAAGGTTAGCTTCACATACACCCTGCAAGTTTAGCGAACAATACCAACCCAACTAGTCTCATCCAGCAATCCAAACTCTCTATTGCTAACCTCTTGCATAAATTTAAAGCGTGAGTTCTTTATCAAGGGAACATCGATCAATTGAGCTTGTTCTTACCCACTTGATCTTCTCCAAGATTGTCTTTGAAGTGCAATGAGTTCTTTTCCTCTCTCTTTCTCACATCAGAACTTTGAAAGGTCAATTTCTCCCTACTTTTCTAGGGTATCATTTTATTTTTTCTATTGACCCTTCTTTCAACCACAGGATAAGTCTTTAGCTTGTTCCTTGTTTGATAAGGTATTTGATCTCGGGATCAGGTCTTCCCCTTTCCTATCCCTGATTCTGCAAGTGCACAGGTCAGAAGTAGTAAACGGGTATCGAGATCGAGCTAGGGCAAACAGTATAAGTTGGTTGAGTGCAGAGAAAGTAAAGCATGCAAGTATTAAAAGAATGAAATTCAATAGGAGAGAAAGGCTAAGCAATAGGATAGTCTTGAGATAAGCAATTCAAGAAGCATGAAATCAATCAATTAGGGTTACCGCAACTTAGGTGCTAATCTAGAACTTGAAACACTATGGTATGATCATTCCACTGTCGAGGCTCCGACCCCTTTGTTAATCTACCTAGTCGCTAAACTTTTGGTATGTCCCTAGGTGATTAAATCAAGCATTAGTTCGATAAGTTCAATTGTTCACAACCTACAAGTAGATCAACTTTCGCAGTCTAAAAGAGATTGCCCACCAAATACTAGTTCAGGCGAATGATACAGCACTGTCGAGGCTCAAATCAACCTAAAGGCATATGCTAATTGGCCAGATTAACAACAAGCATTAAGTATAAGCAAAGATGGAGATTATAAGTAAAACCCTAATTGTGATCAATCATCAAGCATACATGAATGCTATCCTTTGACTTCCTATCACTTAACAAGTAAACTACTCAGACATAGAGAAGGAACACGAATTCATATTCATAAGAACAGAGATTCGAATCCTCTCTAGAAAGAGAACAAGCAAGAACAAAGTAAAAGCAAGCAAAACTTTATTAAAGATGTAAAGTATAATGTGGTCTCTCTCCTTCTTGAGTTACAAGGCTAAAAAGAAGTATTTATAATGCACTAAGTATGAAAAAGCGGCTAGACCTAATCTAGCTAGGTCGGCGCCGGCTTTGGGCTTGAATTGTGCGGATTGGGCTTCAAAAACGGCTTCGGGTCGACCGCGGCGTTCGGACGGTCGGTCGGGACGGTCGGCCGGACAGTCGGGTCTGGCCGAGTCGGAACGGTCGTGGCCGGATTTCGGTCGGCCGGTGGTCGGACGGTGAGATTGGCCGATGGTTTCTCGGCCGGACGCGGGACGGCTTCCCGGCTCGGACGGAACCATCGGCCGTGGTACGCGAGTAAGGGTTGCGCGGCCGCGAGGCTTTGCTTCCCGGCTCGCGCGGCATGGTCGTGCGCGGCATGGCGTGAGTGGTTGTGGCGTGGCCGACCGCGGGACATTGCTTCCCGGGTCGTGATGTGCATCGGCCGGACGGTTGAACTTTGGCCGAGACTTCAGACGGACGGATTGATTTTGGCCGACCGCGGAACATTTCGTTCCTCGGCCGGCCGCTCTGCACGGCTTGGCCGTGGTTCTTCGATAGAGCCGCTTTGGACAGTCTTCACTCTTTTGGGCTATAACTCCTTTTCTACTCATCCAAATGAGGCCGTTCCACTTGCGTTGGAAAGTTAACTCAATCAGAGCACGCAGGGAACCGGTCTTGATGAAATCCATTAAGTAGATCGTTTTCTAGCTCCATCGAAAGTTTATGCAGTGGCATTGAACTGGTTTGAAGTCCAAATCCTCTGTATTGCTCCATAATGCACCTTTTTATCTCCAAGTGTTAGTTCTCGCTAGCGCGCAGAACGAAGCTTCGGAAGTTTGGCCGCGCGCGGAGGAGTTCCCGACGTCCAAAAGTTACGATCTTGATATGGAAAGATAGATACTTGAGTCATGCATCACGTCGAAGTGGAATGAAGCCATTTGGATCAACTATGAGGCCTAGACTTATTTTCTACCGAGACATGTCCGGTAAGCGAGTAAACGAAGCCCATGGAGGATTTGGAGTGTCTAATGGCCCGAGCAGCAGCGCCAAAGGCCTTGATCGAATAGAGAAGAGGCCTGGCTAATGTTTGGAGCTTTCCTTGGTACAATGTCGGCCCATACACGACGTGGAGAAGAAGGCTTTGCTCACGGGAAACTTTCCTTTTCCGGCATGAAGAAAACCCTACGCGACTTCGCCCATATATACATGTTTTTAGCCGCTGAAGAAGAGAGTCCGAAAATTATCAAAGAGTTACGTGTGAGAAGAGAGAGAAGAGAGAAGCCCTAGGAGATCGTCCAAGAAGAAGGAGGCGCCGCTCAACTCTTGTTCTTTCTTTTTCATTGTTTCCATTTCTATAAACTTGATTTAAGAGTTTTCAAGGGAGAATCCGACTTTGTTCATCAATAGAGAAGCTTTCTTCATCCCTTTATCTCTTTTAATACTTGCATAATGTTTACAATCATGCTTTGCTTGCTTGTTTGCATCATGGCCGAGTAGATCTCTTAGTTAGGCCGAGGAGATCTATGGTGGCCGTGATGATTTGATTGTGTTGCAACTTATTGGGATTTATCTTATGGATCTTCACCTTTACTTGAGCTTAATGCATGATTACTCTACCGTACATCTAGTAATCTGATCTTAGAGAAATAGAACCACGACAGTGCTGAATCTAGATCTCAAAACTAGTATTTGGTGAGCAATAGATCATAGCCAACGAAAGCTGAGTTATGGTTTATTGTGAACAATTGAATCTTGATCACCTTTAATGCATGTTTGCAATTCTAATAGCCAACGAAAGCTGAGTATATTAGGTTGTTTTAAACATAGTGGTTGGAGCCACGACAGTGGAAAGACCATACACTAGTGATTCATGTTCAAGACGGCTCTACACACATCCCATGCAACTATCTTTTCATCATTGCTCCATATGATTGTCCTTTGCCTAACTCTTGTTTTAAATTGTTTACAACTCACTCACATTTCTTTTGTTTTTTCTCATTCTAGGTCCAAAACCATCATATTGCGAGCTAGCTACAAACCAATCTCACAAGGTGTTAAGCGAGAACACTTCCTCCTCGTGTTCGACCCCGACTACAACACGGCTGTGCACTTGCAGCTCATTAGTTGGGTTTATAAATTGTGAAAATTTGAGGCAATCTAAACCCGCCATCAAGCTTTCTGGCGCCGTTGCCGGGGAGGAGTTGCTTTTCCTTCACACCTCTTGATTGATTTCAAGACTAGCTCATCTCATCTTTCACTTTTCTTTGTTTTTGTTTTTCATAAAATCTTAAAAACTCATAAAAATTTTACTTAACTCTTTCTTTGTGTGTTTCTAAGGTGCATGACAAGAAGGTCCAATCCAAATACAACCATTGAAGAAGATCTTGACATTGACCAACTTGAGCGCACACTTAGGCGACTAAGGAGAGAAAGAATGAATCCAGGCGGAGAAGGCGCGCCAAATAGGCCAACAACCCGCCCGACCAAGAGAGGAGAGCCAATGATCCTCCTAATCCAGCAGAAGCTAGAGCTGACCAGCCAGCACCGGCCAGAGACGTTCCTCCACCCAATCCGAACGCGCCCGATGCAGCTGAGCCGCTACAGCCACCTCTTAACCCGCCGCGACCACCACCGGCGTTTGCAAATGGACATCATCGTCACGGTGACAACCAAGGGATGCCTCAAGACCAACCTCACGCACCTCCAAGGAGAGTGCCAAACGCGCAGCATCCAAGGCACCAAACTATGGGAGACTTTGATTCGTCCGATGCTTTCTTTATGGATCGGAATCCAATCCGACCGCCTCTACCTCCAAGGAACGATTTTGAGATCAAACCGCAGATCATTGCCTTGGTGAAGCAAAACCAATTCCATGGTTTGCCCACTGAGCATCCTCTTGATCACGTCGACACCTTTGAGGAGATATGTAGCACAACTCGTGTTAATGGAGTATCACCGGATTACTTCAAGTGCAAGCTATTCACTTTTTCTCTAAGTGACAAGGCGCTAAGATGGGTAAAATCTTTACCACCTCAGTCCATTACAACATGGAATGAATACAAGGGAGCTTTCTTGAACCAATTCTAACCAAGTTATCAATGAGAGTATTGGCTTGAGCAACTGTATTAGTCATGAAGTCCCCTTGACTTGCGATGTTGAGTGCCATCTTGAATTTCTCATCAACTCCTTGATAGAAGAAGTTTAGCAAAGCAATCTCTGTAAAACCATGGTGAGGGCACTCTCTCTTGTACTCCTTGAACCGTGAAACAGCCTCAAAGAATGATTCATGTGCCTCATGTCGAAATTCTGAGATTCTTCTTCTCATCCATTTTAATCTCTCTTTTGGGTAGAAATTCTTCAAGAAAGCTCTCTTGTATTCATCCCAAGTAGTGATTGATCCTGCTGGAAGAGCCCTCATCCATTTGTATGCCTTCTCAACCAAAGAGAAAGAGAATAAAGTACACTTCAAGTAATCCTCAGAAACTCCACTACATCTCCTTGTAGCGCAGATTTCTTCAAACTTCTCAATATGATCAATGGGCTGCTCTTCTTCTAGGCCACGAAACTGATGCTGCTCCACCAAAGCAATGAGTTTAGAGCTTATCTTGAACTCTCCAGTAGGTCGTGAAGGGCATATAGGTTGGCGGTTTGTGAAAAAGATGTCTAGTGAGTCAAACTCTCCAATGGTGCGGTTTTGAGGATCCATTGTGATATCTTCTTCAAGAGCTCCTATCTCTTCCTCAAGCTAACCTGAAACACAAAGAGATATAGAAAAGTAACCTAATAATAAAAACAAAAAACCAAGAAAAACAGAAACAAGAAATAAAAACGAAAATTAAAGCTATCCTAGACTAGACTCTAATCCGAAACTCAAAGGCAACTGTATTGGTCCCCGGCAACGGCGCCAAAAACTTGATGCGGGATCAGGTTTTACCTATTCCTATCCCTGATTCTGCAAGTGCACAGGTCAGATGTAGTAACGGGTTATCGAACACAAGGACCAGATAAGTTTACACTATGAGTTTATGAGATTCGAATCAAGCTAAGACTCAAGTATGGAGGTTTGTTGTTGTCACGGTTTCAAAGCAAAACAAAGTAAATAAGGTGAAAGCAATAGAAGAAAGCATTGGGCATCAGAGAATCCTCAAGGTTTCATAGATTAAATCAAGCAAATAGATAGGGAAATCAATAGTTTGTTCTAGAACTCGAATCAATAAGTATAATTGACCTACTCCCGCAGTGCCAATTACTATGTCTAACAACCTAAATCACACAACTTCCGCAGGTAATCAAGAGGTTAAGCATGTAAGAACAGTTCAAATTCGATAGATCTACTTCCGTAGGTCTAGTTCACAAAGCCTTGCAATTCTACTTCCGTAGGTTACTATGCCTTGCTCATCTAAGTTGATTCAAGAGATTTAACAAACGGTCAGAAAGTAAATCTACTTAAGAACAGTAGCTTAGACGGTCAATCAAGCTATAAGCAATAAGCACAAACTTAGATGAAGAACACTAATGATAAAACCCTAATCTAGCAACCTAACAATCAATCCATGAAAACCCTTTGAAAACTCTTAAACCCAACAAGGAGATTACTCAAGCATAGTAACAGAGATCAAGCATAGAGATGAAGAAGAATTCATAATAAAACTTGATAGAAAGTAAAAGGGTTTAGAAATCTCCTCTATAGTGTTACAAAGGTGAGATCTTCTCCCATGAAGCTCTAAAACGAAATCAATGTAAACTCTCTAAAACTAATGCGGCTCTCTCCTTCTAAAGAGGCTAAAAAAGTGTATTTATAGTGCCCTAGGTCTTCACAAGTCGGTTTAGGTTAATTGGGCTGAGAATAGTCAAAACTGCATAAGTGGGCTTCTTGTTCGCGGAGATCGGGTCGACGCGGTCATGCTTCCCGGGTCGCACGGTCTGGTCGGCCGTGATGTGATGATCTCGGTCGATCGTGGTCCATTGCCTCCCGGGTCGGACGGTGCGGTCGTGCGGCCGGATCGGTCCTGGAGAAGGCCGAGCGAAGCCAATTCCCTTCCTGTCCGGCCGAGTGCGTTCGGCCGGCTGTGGACCAGTCTTCAGTACAAACGTGATATCTCCTAAACGGCTTATCCAAATTGCATACTTCCAACGGCATTAGAACACTAACTCATCTGGCTATCTTGGTGTTGAGTTTCATTGAAATCCATTGAGTTTAAGGGTCTAAGCCGCTGCTGCTCGTCTGATGTACTGATGCAGTCCGATAAAGCTCTCCTCGGTATATGTCTCAGGGAAATAGAGATATCTCCCAATCTACTCGGTCAAATTGATTGATTCCAGTTGCATTGCAAAGCTAACTCATGTATGCATCTCGAACTGGATTTGATGAAGTCCAATGAGTAGAATGTTTGTTTTTAAGGCCCTTCTTAAGTTGATGCTACGTCTGGAGTGGTCTTGAAGTCCAAATCCTGTGTTTTGCTCCAAAATGCATCTTTTGACCTGTTTAGACTCTAAGTACTATAAATCCATAAAAACTACCTTTTTAGATCAGAAAGCCATTAAAAACCTTATGAAAAGCATAGTAAAACCATATAAAAAGCATGTAAAATAGAGGTATATCACACTATCTCAAGGGGAAGAAGAAGAAAATGAGCCTAAGGAGAGGCACAAACCGGAGAGATACAGTTGGGAATCAAGAAGAGCTTACAAGAGAAGACTTGAAGGCAAGCCACTACAAAAACAAGAAGATCCGGGGAAGTTTGTGATAACTTCAAGTATCAATGGCATTCAACTCCATGATTGCCTATGTGATACTGGTGCTAATGTTAATCTAATGTCTCTTGCACTTGCAAAAGACTTGGGATTCAAGGAATTCAAGAGCCCCAAGATAAGAGTCGAGTTCGCGGATCTATCGTGCATGGAACCTATGGAATGCTTGAAGATGTCATGATGGAAATAGGAGGTCGATCGGTCCCAACTGACTTTCAAGTCATGATTTGGGAAGGCTCAAAGAGGAATCAACTGATTCTTGGAACCCCATTCCTTGCTACAGCTGGAGCGGTCCTAAACTACTTTGGGAATCATCTATCTTTTGGCCACATCCGGCAAGATATCTTTTTCCCAAGTGTAAATTTCAGGTCAGTGCCAAGTGCGACCAAGCTACCACCAGAAGAAGCCACTCTCATGCCTAAGAAAGAAGCTATGCTGCATGGAGAAAGAAGAGAGAGTGAGCGCTACCCAAAACCAAAGGAGAAGAAGAAAACATTGGAGCCGAGGCATGAAAATGTCTTTAAGGAAATCAACTCCATCTCACTTCCAACCTTTGACGAGTATGGAGCTGAAGAGGAGACTAATGGTGCACCTAATCTCTTTCACAAGATAAGAATCTTTACACCAAAAGATTCGGAGCTTAAAGGTGACCAATCCATTGAAGAGAAGCTTGAGAGAACTATGAAGCTTTTCCCCAAGGCATTGGTTTTCAAGGATGAAGTGATAGATGATCATGGCGCACAAAACCACCACAAGACCACTGAACCGGAGAATGGAGAAGCTAAAGGGATCCTTTGCCCTTCAGCCACTCTTCACCACGATTAAAGAAAGAGAAGGAGTCAAGCTAAATGACTTAAAACAAAAGCGCTTTATGGGAGGCAACCCATATGGTTTTTAACTATTATTTCTATTTTGCAGGAGTTTTTCAAAAATCAAACAAAAATACAAAAATATTTTCTTAGGATGAAGACCCAAAGGAGACCAAACAATGGAAGTGTCCCACCCAATGAGCCCACCCTTGTACAAGGCGTTTCTCTTCCAAAAGGTAAGTAAATCTCACCTAGTATTCATTTCATAATCACTCTTGATCTTCACTTGAAAAATCGTTTAAACCATTGCACTTTAAAATATATTTCATGGTTTAACTTGATTTACATTTGATGATTGGAAAGAATACATAATCACTTGTCAAAACTCATTTCGCTCACTGAAATTACAAGAGATTGAACTATAGTTTGAAATTTGGATCATTGACCAAGACCAAATAAGAATTTATAGTTTGTGCTTTAATCTCTTGGATTGTGAACTTCAAGTTGGTCACTTGAGGATCACAATCTGAGAAACCATCTAATCATGATTTCAAGTGTTTTGCAAGGAGTTATTTGACAGGAAGGAGAAATAAGCAAACCTATCAACCAACCTAAAACCAACATGCATATGGCGGCCAAAGGGAGGTTAAAAGGAGATACATAGGCCATCACACGAAACAAGGCGGCCACCACTTGGGAATGACACAGGAGGGTTATTAAAACAATTCGGTCGAAGAAAATCTCAATTGGCCCGAGTGGATTTGAAGAAATTCAATCCGGACATTTCTCTCGGCCATACGCGCACAAGGAGACCAACTCGGCCAACTCCTAAACGGCGTGACCAAAGTCCACCAAACTTCACAGGCGACCATAAAATCACATTTGGTCGGCAAATCCAAAAGATAGGACGGAGAAATCATCACGGATCATGAGATAGACGACGGAGCTCATTCTGGCCGATGGCGCGCAAGCAATATGGCCGACAAACCAAATCACGGCATAGGCGCGCCAACCGGTTGGAAAACTCTTCTTTGAGCTTAACTAACACTTTTATGCAGGAAGAAACGAAAAGGAACGAGCCAAACTTCACATGGCCAAGGAAACTCCTTCCCGGAGCCGACTTGACCATTTTGTGAAGGAAGTCTCAATCCGCTCGTACAAATGCTCCCAAACTTCACCAGAGGCCATAAAATACCAGGTTGGTCGATGAAATTTCAATATAGGTCATGAAATTTTTGACGGTTTGTTCTGTAGTTCACAGCACCACATTTTGGCCGACCGAATATACCAATCTCGGCCAAAACACAAACCGGCGGAAACCAAGGCCTGAAATTAAAAACTCACCGACCAATATTGCCTAAAGAAGTGTAGAATGACCCAAACCGGAACTGATCTTCATTATAAATTGGTCGACATTTGGTAACATCATCCTAAACCTTTTTCTTTTCAATTTTTCATTTGAACTTCATGTTATGCCTCTCTTAATCCGATTTGATTTCACCGGGACGGTGCAAGTTAAGTCTGGGGGGATTACTAACAATGTTTGTTCATTTTGGCGTTTTCATTTGCATTTTTCCCTTTTTATCGAGTCGTTTTTATTGAGTCAAAATTTTTGTCGAGAATCATGACCTTATCTTGGATCTAACCATGGTTGTACTAATGTTTAAGTGACCATTGAGCAGTTCTTGGCAATACATCTTACCACAGGTGCACTATGAGTTGATCGATCTACCAAAAACGCCTACATCTCTAAAGACTTGAGAAGGATCCATCTTTGACTCCGCCCTTAATGAACTTAATCTTCTCAGCTAGGGGCTTGGCATACAAATGGCATGATTCCTCATCCTCTCCATCAAATGAAAAAGTCTTAGTGAGTTCGTGCTTCCCTCTCTCTCCCCTTCAAATTTAAAGAAAAAGCGTAAGGTCCAAGTAACCGGGGATTCGGTGGCAAACACCATCAATACTCGCGTCTATGGAAGGCCTATGAATCCAAGCAACCGGGGATTCGGTGGCAAACACCATCAATACTCGCGTCTGTGGAAGATCCAAGCAAAACCTCTATAATAAAGAGAAGGAGTTGAATAAAAAAATACTTCGCTACCCTAAAAAAGGGATGAATCAACTCAAAGAAGTGAGAAGAGAGAGAGGAGAAACATGGAGTAAAAAGACAAGTGCCAAACAAGGGGATGAGAAAGAATCTAAAAGCCGGCTGATCGATACTCCCTAGTTGAGACCACACCTTTAGAAATGAAAGGAGTCAAGGGTGGCGAATTGGATTGTCCAAGGAGAGGTGGACCGCTTTGGGAAAATCGCAAAACTCATGGTATGTACTTTGTTCTTAATTCAAAACTTGCCAATGCTGTTTCATGTGGATTACTAAAGCATAAGTCAATTTGGATTTCCAAAAGATTTGAGAGTTCTCACGTTTTCAAACCTCTTTTCCTGCTTAGTTTGCTTGGGGACAAGCAAAAGGCTAAGTCTGGGGGAGTTGATATCACCATATTTTACATGATTTTACTATATATTTACTATGTTTTCAAACGGTTTTTGCAAGATTCTTTGCCTTTAGAGGTAGTTTTCTTGTATTTGTGGGATTTGAAGTCTTTGTAGGTGAAACCATCAAAAAGGATGCAAAAAGGAGTAAAAGAGCCCTAAATCAAGATCCATGCAAGTTTCCAAGTCAAGAAGATCATTTTATCTCCAAGTGTTAGTTCTCGCTTGCGCGCAGAACGAAGCTTCGGAAGTTTGGCCGCGCGCGGAGGAGTTCCCGACGTCCAAAAGTTACGATCTTGATATGGAAAGATAGATACTTGAGTCATGCATCACGTCGAAGTGGAATGAAGCCATTTGGATCAACTATGAGGCCTAGACTTATTTTCTACCGAGACATGTCCGGTAAGCGAGTAAACGAAGCCCATGGAGGATTTGGAGTGTCTAATGGCCCGAGCAGCAGCGCCAAAGGCCTTGATCGAATAGAGAAGAGGCCTGGCTAATGTTTGGAGCTTTCCTTGGTACAATGTCGGCCCATACACGACGTGGAGAAGAAGGCTTTGCTCACGGGAAACTTTCCTTTTCCGGCATGAAGAAAACCCTACGCGACTTCGCCCATATATACATGTTTTTAGCCGCTGAAGAAGAGAGTCAAAATTATCAAAGAGTGTACGTGTGAGAAGAGAGTTCAGAGGAGAGAAGCCCTAGGAGATCGTCCAAGAAGAAGGAGGCGCCGCTCAACTCTTGTTCTTTCTTTCATTGTTTCCATTTCTATAAACTTGATTTTAAGAGTTTTCAAGGGAGAATCCGACTTTGTTCATCAATAGAGAAGCTTTCTTCATCCCTTTATCTCTTTTAATACTTGCATAATGTTTACAATCATGCTTTGCTTGCTTGTTTGCATCATGGCCGAGTAGATCTCTTAGTTAGGCCGAGGAGATCTATGGTGGCCGTGATGATTTGATTGTGTTGCAACTTATTGGGATTTATCTTATGGATCTTCACCTTTACTTGAGCTTAATGCATGATTACTCTACCGTACATCTAGTAATCTGATCTTAGAGAAATAGAACCACGACAGTGCTGAATCTAGATCTCAAAACTAGTATTTGGTGAGCAATAGATCATAGCCAACGAAAGCTGAGTTATGGTTTATTGTGAACAATTGAATCTTGATCACCTTTAATGCATGTTTGCAATTCTAATAGCCAACGAAAGCTGAGTATATTAGGTTGTTTTAAACATAGTGGTTGGAGCCACGACAGTGGAAAGACCATACACTAGTGATTCATGTTCAAGACGGCTCTACACACATCCCATGCAACTATCTTTTCATCATTGCTCCATATGATTGTCCTTTGCCTAACTCTTGTTTTAAATTGTTTACAACTCACTCACATTTCTTTTGTTTTTTTCTCATTCTAGGTCCAAAACCATCTCATATTGCGAGCTAGCTTACAAACCAATCTCACAAGGTGTTAAGTGAGAACACTTCCTCCTCGTGTTCGACCCCGACTACAACACGGCTGTGCACTTGCAGCTCATTAGTTGGGTTTATAAATTGTGAAAATTTGAGGCAATCTAAAGAAAGGGTTTATGGGTTAAGAGACAAAGAGGGTCTCTTTTGTATGGTGGTTTAGTAACAGGGATCTCTCAAGAAAGTGGCTTTGCTTTGGCAGAAGGCTAAGTGTTAGAACCAAAGATGATGCAAGAACAGCAGCTCGAGCCGCCTAATCCTAACTCGATCGAGTTCAACACTTAGAGCTTTTTAGAACAAAATCCTAACTACCCTTTTTGGCATTTCGCCTTTGAAACTGAGGAGCTTTGCTCACTTTTCTTTTAAGAACTTCCTAGGGAGAGGCTTCTTGAGGTAACATCTAGCGGTTTGGGATTTTCTAAACACTTAGGGAACTTTTCTTTCTTTTTGACACTTGAGGCTTTGCCTTCTTTTCATTCTACTTAGAACCCTTTTTACTTCCTTTTTTAACTTCCCAAACCTTTACTAGACCCTTTTTAACACTGCCAACTCCCTGGACTTAACTAAACTCTTTTTCCTTTGGGTTTTTCCCAACTTTTACCACTTTTCTGGTTTTTACACCCAACTCGATCGAGCTCGAGTTGGCACCCCCAAACTTAGCCTGAAAACAATCCCAAGAGAACTAGACAACTAGAACTACTGCCCCTGCCGGTTTAAACACAACACCTTATGCTAAGCAAAGCCAAGAAAGGTTCTCACATTCGCACAAGAGATAATATGGGGTTTGAAATGAAAAGGCTTAGGTTTAAGGTGTGGTAACTGTCTCAAAGATAGAGATCAGCTATCTGGACAAGCAAAAGGGATATGAAAATGGTAAAGAATGTCCAGATATGTATGTGGTAGCCATGAGTTGAAATCAAATGCAAGCATTGGTAATTAAAGATCAAGTTATGGTTCAAATAGATAGGGAAATGCATCAAATCACAGCAATGGTTGAATGAGATGTGCATGCAGTGATATGATCAAGATAAACATGGTTCTTGCTGCTCAATCAATCTCACCCTAATGCACAAAAGAATCTAAAAACAGGGCACTCAAGAAATCGCAAAAGATGGACAAGTTTTCAAAGTCAAATCAACAATGCAAGTGAAAAATGCAATCCTAAACAAGTCTAACAAATATGAATGCAAAAAGATGAAAATATTTTTGGATTTTTTGAAAATTTTATGATTTTTTTGGTTTTTCTATGCAAAAGATGAATGAAAAACTAAGAACAAAGAAAACAAGGTTAAATCATCTCTTGAACCCTCCCCCAAACTTAAATCACACAGTCCCTTGTGTGAGAAAAATTTAGTGAAAGATTCAAGAGGGCAAAACCAAGAAAAAACAAGAACAAATGCAAGAAAATATGAAATGGTATATACAAGGGTTGGTGTTTGGATACCTCAGTGCCCCCCAAAGAACTGGGAGGCTAGGTCGTGGTCTGGAGATGGTAGACGGCCATCAGGAGCACTCCACTCACTGGGTTCCCTCACTCGATCGAGCTTGCGGCTCCTCTTCTTCCTCTTCTTCATCTTGAAATGTGTGTGGCTCCCTTGGCCTTGGTGGAGCTGGCTCTCGACTGTTGTAGGGGTCCATCTCTGGGAAGTCCTGGTACTGGTTGATCGTACTCGAATCCGGGTTCTCAACAGGGGCTCCTCCAGGTCAGCTCGACCGTCAGCTCGATCGAGTTGAGTTTCCTCTGTTTGGACTCGATCGAGTCCGGTGGTCGAGCTGGAGCGTCTGGCCTTGGAAGTCTTCCTCCTTCTCTGCGTGTTGTCTTCTCCTTCCCTTGGCTCGAAAGAAGAGGCTCTGTGAGGCTCTTGGGCAGGGAGCCTCCTTGGAGTGGTGAGAAGAGATCTACTCCTAGGGAATGTGGGGGCCTTGGACTTCTTCTTCTTGCTTGAAGAACCAGAAACCTTCTTCTCCAAACTCTTGATCTTGCTCACCATCTTGTCCATGGACTTTTGCATCTTCTCAATGGCTTTCCCTTGCCATTTGTTGAACTTTTGGAGAAGTCCAATCCTCTTGTGGCAGCCACAACAGAGGGGTTCATCCTTGGAGCCTCATACTCCTCAAAGTAATAGCACTCAGGCTCACCCAAATCCGCACTCTTCCTGGACCTGATCTCAGCTCGCAGCTGATCCTCAGCTCGATCCTCAGCTCGATCGAGCTCAGGCTCCTCTTCTCGCAAATCCTCATGCCCAACTAATGTGTACACAGGGGGTCTGAAGTCAATGTTCTCACCCCTTACTACTGTGGTGAGCTCTGGGTTGGGCAGGAGAAGCTTGGAAGGGCCAACCAATGGATGTGTGAACTTGAATTGGAACTCCCATCCAACTCCTTGTGCTCAATGAGAAGGTTGGTCTTGCAAAACTTGATGTCCATCCAACCTGGTTCAGTGGCTCTCTATCAGTTGGGTTCACTCCAGCTGCACAAAGATAGGTGTGATGACCCTCCAACACTTAAGCTTCTTCCTCTTTGATGTCTAGTGTTGTAAGGCTGTGATCTTGTAGGTAGAGAGCTGGTCAAGGAAAGGCATCAGTTCCCTGTGTGATCTATCTCCTCCTGATCCTCTTGCCATCGCTTGTGCGTGAGAGATGGGCTTGATTCCCATGTCAAGGAGCTTCCCCCTCATTGATTGTCCCGGTGCCTTCCTTGCAAAGAAGGTGTTGGCAAGTGCCTTGTGCACATACCTCAAGCACTGGGCTCCTGATCTGAGCAGCCTTGGACCTTGAGGAAGAGTACACTCCCTCAGCGATTGTAGCCCAAACTCTTTGGAGTTCCTTTTCCTTGAAGTTCCACTTGGTACCCTCTCCATAGTTGAACCCAAACAAGATCTCCAGCTGCCTAAAGGTCACCATTCTCTTCTCTCCCTTAGCCAAGAACGTGATCCATCCCAATCCTTGGTCCAAATCAGCTCGATCGAGCTCTTCATACATGTGGTACCTCATTGAAGCCAAAAACTCACAAGTGAGCTCCTTGTAGGACTCCATCGGTGAGAGAAGAACTTGGCCAAGTGCATGTTCTTGAGACCAACTCCACATCCTCAAAGATTCCAAGGGCCTTCATTGTGTCAACATGTGGGTACTTGGTCTCCACAAAGTCCATGGAGAAGAGAGCATTGTAGCTCTTGGTACATAGGGAGCTCATCCTCCTCTTGCTCTGCCTCAGCCTCCTCCATGGCTCATCTTGGTTATCTCACCACTCCACTTGGAGACCATCACTTTCTTCCTCCTCTTTTCACCCAATCTCAAACTCCCCTTGCTCACTCTCACTACTAATGGGGTCATTCCTCTTCTTGGTTCTCCTTTCTTCCCTCAGCTCTCACTCTCAGACTGTCCTCTCAGAGACATATCCTCTGCATCAGATCTTCCATCCTCTGATCATCCTCTTCAAATCGGCTTGCATCTTAAGCCTTCTCTTTTGCATTGCTTGATTCACCCTCAACCATTCTCCTCTGTGAAGCGCGCTTCCCTCACTGTTTGTCATCCTTGTCACTGTTTTTCACTAAAGTACCTGAAATGCATCAAAGATTACAAAGAATTAGAGTTGTAATGATCGGTTTGGTCAACTCGACACTCAGCTCGATCGAGTCAAAAAACTCGAGTGACAAACTCGATCGAGCTTGGGTGAAAACAGAGTATAACCAAACCTAATTCAAGTATTAAGAGCTGGAAAGGATGCTAATCAATCAAATTGAACCAAGAACAACTAGTAAATGGAACAATGAGCAATTCTAGTGAAACTAAGCATCTTAACCAATACCAAACTCAAATTCAATTTTAAGCACATGCAACAAGTTTAAAGGCAAAACAGAGGTGAGGTGAGGCAAATAACAAGATTATACAGCAGAGGCGAAATATGAGGAATTACTCAAGAACAAGTCCACAAGGGACACATGCAATCAAAAATCAAAGAGAAACAAGCAATAGGAAATCGAGATGGAGAATCAAGGGTTTTAGGGTTCATACCTTGCTTGAATGATGAATTGAAGAACATAAGCTAGAAAAAGCAAAACAAGAAGACAAGAAGAAATCGCAAAAACTTAGAGAGAAAGATTGAAATTCGATTTCTTGTGGTGAGAGAGAGAGAGATGAGTTTCAGAAAAATTGAGTGTGGGAGAGAGAGAGTGGATTCGATCGAGTTATGGGGAAGAGGGTGTTTGAGATGTGTGGTTGAGATTAAAAGATGAAATAAAGAGGGGAACAAGAAGCTAGGGTTTCTGATCAAATTAGGGTAGTGGGGGACCAAAATCAGCTTGTGGGACCCACTCCCTTGACCAAGAAAACGGTTATGAATTTGAAATTCAAAAACTTACCTCGGTCGAGTTGTGGAGCTCGATCGAGTTGCCCTGGTTTCTAGCTCGATCGAGCTATCGGTCGAGCTGGCTCCTTGACACCTAAACTTAACTTATTCAAAGGTTAAAACATAAAGATAGATAGAAATTGCATAAATAGAATATGTACAAGGATAAACATGGGACTTCCTCCCAAGTGAGCTTGTTTAAGGTCCCATAGCTTGACCTTTACCTTCTTAGGCATTGGTTGAGCTAGTCCCACCATCAAGGGTGATAGTGAGGACTTGAGACAGAAGCTCCTTTAGCTTGGTTGGGTCCCTGGACTGTTCTGAAGTCACCAAGGCCTTGGCTCTAGAGAATGGCCTTGATCTCCCCTTGTACCTTATCTTGTACTCAATCTTCCCATTTTCAAACTTGGTGGGGAACAAAGTCATTGTGAGCTGAGATGGCTTGACTGAAGGGGCCTGAGCTGGTGGATCTTTCTTTTATCCCTGGTCTTGCCTTAGAGGCTACATCCTCCCCTTCTTTTAGAGCCCTTCCTAGTGGCTCATCAAACAAAGCTTGAAGGCTCTCTTCATCAAGCACACAAGGGGCTTGAACAAGTCTCAGCTCTTGGCCTATCAGAACGTGGTTTCTCAACTCTAGCCCTCTCAAGACGTGGCTTCTCAATCCTTGGTCCTCTCTCATCCTTATCCTTCCCAACTCTTGGTTCTTTGTCAACCTTTCCTTCACAACCTTTGTAGCTCCATGACTCTTAGAACTGAGAGTGGTACTGTCAATTGTGGCACAAAAGTCTGAACCTCTAGGCTGCAAGCGATATGACACCAAACTATTCACCTTGTGAAGGATCACTTCTTGCTTGTGAAAGTCTATTGAAGCGCCAACTGTACTAAGGAAAGGGGTTCCCAATAACAGAGGTAAATCCTTCTCTTCTTCCATTTCCATCACAGTGAGATCAGTTTGGATGATGCATTCTCCAATTTTCAAGTGATAGTTCTTGAACACTCCAAGAGGAGACTTAGAAGTTGCATCTCCAAACATGATTGAAGTAGTAGGGCGCTGCAAGGCTCCAGCAATGCCTAGCTTCTCTGCCATGGAGAGAGAGATCAGATTGATGCTTGCTCCAGAATCCACTAAGGCATTGTCAATCTCAAGATGCCCAAGTGTGCAAGGGAGAGTGAATTTCCCTTGATCTTGACCTTTGGTAGGAAGGTGGGTGAAGTAAGCAGGTTGAACTGATGAGTAGACTCTTGTAGGACCTCTGAAACTTTATCACTGTTGGCTAGAACATCCTTGACCATTTGCATTTGATCAAATGCCCTCACTCATGCTATCCATAGGAGGCAACTCAATTCCAATCCCACTGAGATCTCTTCTGAACTTGTGAATCACTTCCTTGTGACCTTGACTAAGTAGGCGAGACGAGGAAGCGGCAACCGGTTGATAAGGATCAAGCAAAACAGGCTGTCGGACAGAAGAGGTCGGACTCGATCGAGCTAGAGTTGGACTCGATCGAGCTGCCGATCGAGCTTGTCGTGCGAGCTCAACTGGTGAAGTGTGAATGGCCACAGTAGGTGCATGCACTTCTGGTTGATCAATCTGGACTCCAGGAGCCTCAGCAGCAACAATCTCTTCATCATTCAGCAGTAAACAAAAATCTTCAATGACCCTTTCTTGATCCTCTTCTTCAACAAGTCCTTCTTGAGTGAAGATGACCTTGCACTGTTCCTTGGGGTTCTGAATAGCTTTACCAGGTAGTTGTCCTTGCTTTGTAGCAGCAGCAACAGAAGAAGCATGATTCTCCAGAGAGTAAACCCTTGTGTTGAGGTTCTCGATCTTAGAGTTTATTTCAGCTAGCTTCTTGCTTGTGTCCACTACCCCATCAGCTTGCCCTTGAAGTAGTTGCTTTAGCATTGCCTTGAGCTCATTCTCTTGTGAAGGTGCAGGCTGGGGCGGTTGGTGGGGGAAGCCTGGTGGGATATTCATTTGTTGTCCAGGGAAAGTGCCTTGTGGTCCTTGGTAATTGTTCTTTTGACCATACCCATGTTGTGGCACCTGACTCGATCGAGCTGCTTGTTGTTGAGGATATACTTGGTCCTGAGGGTTAGCAACATCAGTGTTGCGGTATGACATGGCAGGGTTGGACTTGTAGTTATAGTATCCTTTGTTGTAACCTCCTTGCCCATTGCTCATGTAGCACACCTCAGCAAATTGTGTATCCTCCCCTTCTTGGACTGGTTCCATCTCCTCAGCAGACACAAAGTTGACTTTCTTCATTGTGGACTGAGCTAGGATCAGCTTATCCAACTTCTCATTCAATGCCTTAACATCTTTTCTCAACTTTTCGTCTGACTCGATCGAGTGGTGGGTCGAGCTCCGGTTGGTGCGATCATACTCTTCTCCATAGCTTCCATTTGAGTTAGCTATGTTCTCCACAAGTTGCCAGCCATCATCTACATCCTGGTTGAGGAAGTTCCCATTGCTAGCTGTGTCTAGCATCTCCCTATACCTAGGCAAGCATCCTCTATAAAGAGTGGAGAGTAGGATTCATTGTTGAATCCATGGTGTGGGCACTGACTTGTGTAGCCTTTGAACCTCTCCCAAGCCTCTGCGAATGTCTCATTGTTTCGCTGGATGAAGCTGGATATCTCTCCTCTAAGCTTGGCTGTGCGACCGGTGGAGAAAAACTTAGCAAGAAAGGCCTTCTTGCATTCATCCCAAGTGGTGATTGTGCCATGGGGCAAGCTCTTCTCCCATTGGTGAGCTTTGTCAGCTAGAGACATAGGAAAGAGTCTCAGCTTGATGGCATCTTCAGAGACACCATTGATCTTTGTCAAATCACAAAGCCTATCAAACTCATCAAGGTGGTCAATGGGGTCTTCACTTGGCAATCCATGGAACATCTTGTTCTGGACAAGGTTGATCATTCCCAGCTTGATCTCAAAGTTGTGGTTCTGCAA